ATTATAGGTTTAAATAAAAAAATACCTATTCTAAATTGTTATATCGAATAGAATGGTAAGTGAGTCATCTTTAGAGTGCAAAGAATTATTGCGTATATTCAGTTACGTTCTATTAAATGTTAACCCTTTGCACTCCTCAATTTCCTTCACCTACCTTAATTTATAAAATAGATCAAGAAAGGGGTTCTCAATAAAATGTACTGCAACAGGGCAGAGTATGTGACAAGTACATTTTTCTTTTAGTAGTAGTCACAAGTAGTAAATAAATGATAATATTCAACTAATCTATTTATCTGAATTATTTATGAAATCCAAGAAAAATATGATGTGGAGCCACAATCTACATAGGAGTACAAAGGGTTAACCAATTTCTCTAACTGTATTTTTAATTTTAAATGATGTGCTCATTATACAGTGACACGTTTCGCATTAACAGGGTGGATTTCGAATAAGCACCCCACGGCAGGGTCACTCCAGTATCCGATTGACGTCCGGTATCCCCACGACACTCGTACCCGACTTGAACCGCAAATAAACCTGGTATATGCGGAAATATGCACCGCCACCAAGCACCCCGTGGCTAATTTTAACTGGTGAAATTGTGTCTCATACCAAGCTGGCCGATGCTGTTGTTGCAGCCTGGTACTCACACATGGCCAATCGAGTACTTTTTCTTTTTCAGCAGTGAACGGTGATGAATCCTTGCTTATGCATGATGACACCTTGCAATACTGGCTAATCATCGAGAGATAGAATATTCAGTTATTGAATACATTCTTAATTTCATTGATGACTAATTAACAATAGAGGATCAATTAATAAATTATCAATTAATTCTTTAACCGATAAATATATTTTAACTGTTAATTGTAAGATTTTAATTGATTATACTGGTGCGATTGATCTGATTTTCATGATTTTTTAATTTATTGATTTGTATGATTTATTAATTTATTGAGTTCTATGATCTTTGAATTTATTGATTTATATGACTTTTGATTTTATTGATTTTATTGATTTATTGATTTGTATGATTTATTAATTTATTGAGTTCTATGAACTTTAAATTTATTGATTTATATGACTTTTGATTTTATTGATTTGCTCCAATCATGCATTTATTGATTTGTTTGATTTTTGAATTTATTGATTTGTTTCAATTATGCATTTATTGATTTGTTTGATTTTTGAATTTATTGTTTTGTTTGATTTTTGAATTTATTGATTTATATGATTTTTTAATTTATTGATTTGCTTGATTTTTGAATTTATTGATTTGTTTGATGTTTTTAATTGATTGATTTGTATGCTGTTTTAATTAATTGATTTTTTCACTAACTTACGATTTTTTCAATAACTGATTGGTACGATAAAATTGATTTGCATGATTTTTTGATTAATCGATAATATGATTGATTTGAATCGTATCATTTTTTAATTAACTGATAGATACGATAAAGTTTGATTTGTATGATTTTTCAATTAATTAATTTATATAATTAAATTGATTCGTACAATTTAATAATTAACTGATTTATATAATCAATTTGTATGATTTCTAATAGAAAAGTTAATTGTTAATTCAGACTTGACAAACTAAAATTTAATTAGAATCAGAAACTTTCAATGAAAATTACAAATTTTTTTACTTCAATAATTTACTACAATATATAATATTGTAAAAATAAATCATTTTTATATCCAATATTTAACCCCAACATAAACTGCAGTTTAGAAATTATTAGAAAACTTCATAATGCATCATCTCTACATTTTTCAACATAATTTTCTTAAGAAATGCTTAAAATAAAAAATGCGATAAAACTTAATATCATTAAAGAGTACAATTGTTCCAAAAGGATGAAAACCCTAGTTCTTTTCGCTGTCCACTCGGATAACACGTGCAGTTTTGCCTCTGAAACGCGGCATCGCGAGAGCTTTACAAACGCGAGCTCGCAAACGAGAAAAGTAATTAAACACCCACGCGGTGAATATTAGCCTACTAATACACAGAACAGCGAGACGCAAAGCCAGCTTTGAAACACGTTACACTGAATGAAATATGCTGAAACAGGAAAAGAAAAACATTCTGTTTTCTCAAGCAACAAGAAATCTCGCGCCCGGCATTTTGATAGAAAAAATGCGGAAAGTGAATCATTTCTTTCCCGTTTATTTCTAACTGAATATTTTAACGAATATCAAGGGTTTTTATTTCTATATTTGTACATAAATGCGGGATAATGAAACGATTTTTGTAAATTTATGTTCTTTTGTAAATAATATAAAAATGTATAAGTATTATAAATGCATAAATGTAGAAGTATTTTGTTTAAATTTAATAAATGTACTTTTAGAAGGATTAAGAATTAGGATTCTTAAATTTAGAATGTACTTTTATTATTCTGCTTGAACTTAAATTTATTATTATAAATTCGAATTTGAGCAAGGTTATAGGTTATGTTACTCTTCGTGTTCAATCTTCTATTAAATATTTTGTAAACCACTAGAAATCACTTGTAATATAAAATATAAATTTGTACAATATTATTTAGATATCTTTTACAATTTAAATGCATAATTTTACAATTGTTAATTGTATATTTTATATTAAGAAGTCTGTTGTAGTTTAGAAAATGGCGGGGCAGTGCGGGTTAAGAAATGAACAGAATTTTATTTCAGTACAAAAATTAGACAATTACTACAAAATATTGTAATAAATTAGAATAAAAATTAATTTGCAAAATGCAATAGTTTGCTTGTTAATTTTTCTTAGCAATAAATTTTGTAATAATAAAACCTTGAAATAATAATCTAATACTAAAACCATTTCTAAGCTGTGAGGATTAAAAAATTAACAGAATTTTATCTCAATACAAAATTAAACTATTACTAAAAAATAATAAATTAGAATAAAAATTAATTTGCAAACTCCAATAATTTGCTTGTTAATTTTTCTTAGCAATAAATTTTGTAATAATAAAACCTTGAAATAATAATCTAATACTAAAACCATTTCTAAGCTGTGAGGGTTAAAAAATTAACAGAATTTTATCTCAATACAAAAATTAAACAATTACTAGAAAATAATAAATTAAAATAAAAATTAATTTGCAAAATGCAATGGTTTGCCTGTCAATTTTCCTTAGCAATAAACTTTGTAATAATAAAACTTGTATAATAAAAACTTATAATGTTAGAGATTATACAAAAATAATATTAAAGATAATAATAAGAGATTATAAAATTAATAAAAAATTATGAAATTATTTAATGAACTTCCTCGTAAAAAATTTCCTTAAAACGCACTTTTCTTCTAAAAATTATAAGAATTATACGATTATTATTACAAGAGCACTAAGTTAAGGAGCGAATGTGTTTAATCTACGAAAACAGGAAGTGTTCGTGAATATGAATATCGAATGATTTGCGTAATTATCATCGATGGAATTTGAAAACAAGGAAATACAAGGAAAACGAACAACGGTTCGATATTTGTCCCAACGATAATATTTGTCTTTCTTACGTATCAGATCAAAATACTTCTATGTAGAGATGTCGTAAACGTATAAAATGATCGAGCACTGGCTCTAACTTTTGCGGACAGAATCGCACCTGAAAATAGCTGAACCAGTTATTCCTCCAAACAAATAAACGCACCATAAATTTTCGATCGTGGACTATGCTTTTCGCACATCAAAACTGCGCACTTAATTTACCGCGTTTAATTATTGACTTTATCAAATTAATTTCAACAGAACGGCTGTGAGAACGTTGAAGACTTGGTAAGTGATACGTTCACCATGTTTTCTTTTTCAAAATTGTTTTATCATGTTGTAAATAGAGCTGAGTGATTTGTTAAAATATTATAAATTGAGCTAAGTTTATTAAGATATTATAAATGAAGCTGAATAGTTTGTTAAATTATTGTAGATTAAGTTACATAATTTGTTAAAATGTAAGTGAAGTTAAATTGCTTGTTTAAATATTATTAATGAAACTACATATTTTATTAAAATATAACAAATGAAACTAAATAGTTTATTAAAATATTGTAAGTGAAACTAAATAATTTATTAAATCATATAAATATTGCAAATAAAAAAGGTATTTATGAATTTGTTACATATCTAGACACATATGTAATATATTAAATTCAAGACAATTATCTAAAATAAGTTATCAGAAATTCAACAGAATATGTATTTCACAAAAATTCAGTTTTACATCTTTAACACAAAATATTCGAAAATTTTGTAAATATATTTGCTTGTATGATGTTCAATTTAATATCATGTACTTAACATTAACATATGTGAATGTTAGATATGAGATAAATTCCTAATGTGAATTATACTCCTTCCTAACCTAAAACACATGAATTTTTCTGTTCATGTTAATCCTTCTAGTGTTCATTGTAGTTTACGTCACATTAATTTTTTTTTAATTCAAAAACATTTTTAGATAAAATTCATATGTATGCCACAATATGTATACATATCAGCGCATCTGTAGAATAAAGAAATAACACTAATGTACGTCTTCAGATTTTTAAATAAAATTCAGGTTTGTGTGACAATATACATATCAATGCATCTGTAGAATAAAACAACAACACTAATTTTCAATAGCCTCTTCAAGTTGTTAAATAAAATTCATGTTAATGTTACAATATACAAACAAGTGCACCCAAAATAACACTAACCCTAACCTCTTCAGTCTAAACTTCAAAAAAGTTCAAAACATTTTTCTTCTAATCCGAAGAAATAGCTAAATAAAGTAACCCTTAATTAAAATTAAAGTTACATTGAAAAGGAGAACGTTAAATATGAATAATCGAGTAAAATATTTCGTTCTTGTTCGCAGCAGCCATTTACATTTAATTATTTTAATCTGGAAACGAAGGAGGATAACATTTACGAAGTTTCACTGTTTTCTAATTAAAAACAGCAATGACTATGCATGAAGTTGGTAGTACGAGAAGGTACGAAATTGCCACTCACCCTTTTCCTTGTCATCCTTCCCTTTATTGTCGAAGAAGCCCGTTGTAAGGGCTTTCCTCTTCAGTAAAGGTGCTCTCCTCTTGGGCTTCGTGACAACGGCACTGGTGCCAAGACATTCTGGAAAAGGAAGAAGAATAATGTAGTAGATATGTAGGTCCATTATTTACTACTTTAAGAGCTAAAACAATGATTTATTTTACTGTTTTTTTTTTTAGAGAAGCATTTTGGAGATTTATAGTTAAAATTAATTGGGGGTGGTTTGAATTAATTAGAGATTTATGGTTAATATTAGACATTAATCTCTAATACATTTTAATGAATAAAATTAATATTTATAAATTTATAAATGGTTAAATTTAATGATTTACGGATAAAATTAATGAGAGATTTATGGTTAAAATGAATTAGAGATTGAAGTCTAAAATTAGTTAATATTTATGATTAAAGTAAATTAGAAATTTGTATCTAAAATTAATTAATGTTTATAACTAAAATGAATTAGAAATTTATGTCCAAAATTAATTAAATATTTACGTTTAAAATTAATTACAAAAATATGCTTAATATTAATTACAATATTTGGTTAAAATGAATTAATGATTAATGCCTAAAATTAATTAGAGATTTAAGTCTAAAATTAATTAGTATTTATGATTAAAATGAAATAAAGATTCAAATCCAAAATTAATTAGTATTTATAATTAAAATGAATTAGAAAATGTCCAAAATTAATTACATATTTACGTTTAAAATTAATTACATATTTATAGTTAATATCAATCATGATTTATGGTTAAAATAAATGATATATTTATAACTAAAATTAATTACAATTAGCCTGAAACAGAGCTATAATTTGCACAGAGCGATAATTTGCTCTTACAAATGTTGTTAGCAATCTCGTTTTTCGTACAGAAGGCACATTCGAATAAGAAGTCCTGGTATTTTATTTATCTACTGTGGTTTCATTGATTCGCTTCCGCCTGGATACGGAAGTGGAACAAAGAGACGCAGAATGAACACGAGGAAATAGAGCCCGATGAAACGCGATCCCTTCTTGATTGTTGGGTAACGTCAACGACCACATTCAGACACCGCAGAAAAATTCACCTACGATATTGCGAAACTTACGCAGGGTGGTTCTTATACATGTGTCCACTGTGTGTCTTATTTTCTAGCTAATTAATTTTTATGTACAAGCAATAGAAAAAGTTTTATTCTTAGTGATCTTGTTTGTTGTTAAGTTGGCAGGGATGGAATTATACATGTACTATTTATTTATCTAGACTTTACCTATCTGTACATTATTTCTTTATTTAAATACTATTTATCTATGTGGAATTCATCTATTTATTTGTAGAATTTGTCTATTCATTTAAGAGTGCTTTATCTATCTATCTGTCTTAAATTATCTATCTATCCATTTATCTATCTAAAATGTATCAATCAATCTTTCTATCTATCTATCTATCTAAAATGTGTCTATCTACCTGTCTATCCGTCTAGAATTTATCTATCTATCTATATAGAATTTGTCTGTTTATTTTTTTACTTTAAAAAGTTAAATTAAAATATGAAACTAAAATGTAAAATTAAAATATAAAATTGAAACGTAACACTAAAATGGAAAAATAAAATGTAAAATTAAAATCTACAACTAAAAAGTAAAATTAAACTGAAAAATTGAAATGAAAAAGTAAAATGTAAAATTAAAATATAAAATTGAAATGTAAAACTAAAATGGAACAGTAAAATGTAAAATTAAAATCTACAACTAAAAAGTAAAATTAAACTGAAAAATTGAAATGAAAAAGTAAAATGTAAAATTAAAATATAAAATTGAAATGTAAAACTAAAATGGAACAGTAAAATGTAAAATTAAAATCTACAACTAAAAAGTAAAATTAAACTGTAAAATTGAAATAAAAAAGTAAAATGAAAAAGTAAAATGTAAAATTAAAATATAAAATTGAAATGTAAAACTAAAATGGAACAGTAAAATGTAAAATTAAAATCTACAACTAAAAAGTAAAATTAAACTGAAAAATTGAAATGAAAAAGTAAAATGTAAAATTTAAATTTAAAACTAAAAAGAAAAATGTGAAATGTGAAATGTGAAATGTGAAATGTGAAATGTGAAATGTGAAATGTAAAATGTGAAATGTGAAATGTGAAATGTAAAATGTGAAATGTGAAATGTGAAATGTAAAATGTGAAATGTGAAATGTGAAATGTAAAATGTGAAATGTGAAATGTGAAATGTAAAATGTGAAATGTGAAATGTGAAATGTAAAATGTGAAATGTGAAATGTGAAATGTAAAATGTGAAATGTGAAATGTGAAATGTAAAATGTGAAATGTGAAATGTGAAATGTAAAATGTGAAATGTGAAATGTGAAATGTAAAATGTGAAATGTGAAATGTGAAATGTAAAATGTGAAATGTGAAATGTGAAATGTAAAATGTGAAATGTGAAATGTGAAATGTAAAATGTGAAATGTGAAATGTGAAATGTAAAATGTGAAATGTGAAATGTGAAATGTAAAATGTGAAGTGTGAAGTGTGAAGTGTGAAATGTGAAATGTGAAATGTGAAATGTAAAATGTGAAGTGTGAAGTGTGAAATGTGAAATGTGAAATGTGAAATGTGAAATGTGAAATGTCAAAAGTAAAATGTAAAATGTGAAATGTGAAATTAAGATGTGAAATAAAAATCTGTATTGTAAAAAATACCTCCTAAAACAATAATTACACACATAATAAATAATATAAACAATATCGATCGTCAAATTAGGAATTTAAATGTGCATGTACGTATTTCAATGTTGGCAAACATGTGAATACGAAGTGCATAAGTACGTGATTCTTCAGAAAGGAGGATATTACGATGTTAAAGTTACACTTTGCACTCGTAAACACGTCAATCATCATTTAAGACATCTAAGATGAGATTCCAACGTCAACATCGAGATAAGATACTTACTTTCTCGACGGAAAATAAAGAGTACATTGTTTAAAATGTTTCTCTGTTTTTATTCTACCATGGGATACGTAGTTTATTCCGACATTTTTAATTTAACAATGGAAATGTACGTATAATATCCTTGTACCTGGCAGGTAGAATCTTTAGAAAGTTCAGAAAAATTGTTCGAAAATAATTTATGTTCAAAAAGCAATTTCAGTAATAGTATTGGTGAAGTATAATATATTTACAAATTATTTGTATCTTATGGATCTATAATTTGAAGTTTTTGTATTTTTTAATTTTTATATTTTTTAGAGCTTTGTGACTTCAAATTTTTATTTTTTCAAATTTCTGCATTCACCAAATCTCTATGTTCTATAATTTCTCTATGATCTCTATATGATCTCTATATGATCTCTATATAATCTCTATATGATTTCTATACTCTTCAATTTTTATATAACCCAAACCTCTATATTTCCCAATTTCTACATTACCCAAATATTCTATAATTTCGGAGTTACATATCCTCAGATTTTTACATTTCCTATACCTCTATAATGACTCATTTCTATATTTCTAAATATCTACTTCACATTTCTACATCTTCAAATTCATATGTCTCCAAATTTCTATATTTCTCAATTTCTATATTTCCTAAATCTCTACATTTGCAGAACTCCATGCTCTCGAATTTCTATATACTTAAATTTCTCTATTCGCCAATTTCTACGAATTCTAAATCTCTATATTCTCCAATTTCTAGGTATCCAAAATCATATCTTCAAATTTCCATATCACCAAATTTCGATATACCCCAATTTCTAAATTTCCTAAAACTGTATACTCCCAAAATCTCAGTAATATCAAAGTTCAATATTCTCAAATTTCTATATTCCCAAATTTTGTATTCTCCAATTTTTACATTCTCTAAATCTCTACAGTCTCAAACTTCTGTACTCCCTAAATCTCTGTAGTATTAGAGCTCTATATTCTCAAATTTTTACATTCTCTAAATCTCTACAGTCTCAAACTTCTGTATTCCCCAAATCTCTACAGTATCAGTGCTCCATATTCTCAATTTTCTATGTTCCTAAATTTCTGTATTCTCCATTTTGTACATTTCCTACATCTCTATATTTCCCAGTTTCTACATATATTCCCTAAGTGTCTATATTGTTTGAAATCTCCATACTTTCAAATTTCTCCATCTCTTAATATCTACATTCTCTAAATCTCCATAGTGTTTCTTTTCTATATTTCTAAATGTCTCTTATTTTATCTTTATCTCTCCAAATTTCTATATATTTCTATAATTTTTCTGTAACATATATTTTCAAATGTCTATATATCGAAATTTCTACATTCTCAAATGTCTACATATTCTAATTTTTACATTCCAAAATTATCTACATATTCTAATTTTTACATTCCAAAATTGTCTACATATTCTAATTTTTACATTCCAAAATTGTCTACATATTCTAATTTCTACATTCCAAAATTGTCTACATATTCTAATTTCTACATTCTCAAATATCTACACGTCCAAATTTCCATATTCGCAAACATCTCCATATCCAAACATTTTCTGCAAACATTTCTACATTCCCAAATGTACACCCTTAAATTTCTCATACAACTATTTACCTCAACGAAAAATTTTCATATCAAAACCATAAATTTTGTCTGAATTTTGTAACACGCTTTGAATTCAGCTTTCAACTCAGTTCACATAATTCAACTTCAGTTTTTACTGGCTGCAGTTTGCTGAAATAACACTTCCGGTAGTTCAAGTAATTACACGGCTTTCGGTACGTTGATTCAGTAAGGATTAATAACATAACCTCAATATGCAAATGTTAAAATCTGTGGGAAACACTTGAGGTGGTTTCCCTATTAATCCCTTGCGTTGTAATTTATGCATGTGTTATTGTATCTACGTATGGCTGTTAGTATATTAGAAGAAATAAAAAATGTTATTGTGTTTGTTTAGGAAGCTACAATCTGAACCATGCAAATTACAATTAAATTTAGAATGTAAATTGTAAAGTATGAAACATATGAGGAAAGTTAATCACACATGACATGCATGTGCTTCATAAGTATAAATTATTATTAGAAATTATTATTATTTTATTATTAGTAGTTTATTATTATTTTCTTATTTTATTATTTTACTATTTTGCTACTTTACTATTTTACTATTTTACTATTTTACTATTTTACTATTTTATTATTTTATTATTACCATTATTTAATATTACTGAAATTATAGTGCAGGGTTTTAATGTGAACGATATCGTAAAGAAATATACAGGACGTTTCTAAAATAGTGGTACTGAAGGAAACCTTTATGAAACAGTATATCAAAAATGTAGAACTAAAACTTTTCTTATACAACTTCATTGTTAATAACATCAAATTTTAATGCTTTCCAAATATTTGTAAAAAACTATGGAGTGATAAAAGACTACGAGTTGTTGACGAATATTGCAATTCTTCAGCAAGTATTATAAATCAGTGGATGTAATTAATAATATCATTAAAGTATTTTTATCTTTGTAATTTATAATAAATATTATTACTTATATACTGTTTTTATCATCAACGAATTACATCAAATATTGCTACCTCAATAATGACCTTTTATAATGAATGACTAATAACATACTTTAATAAATTACAATAAACCAGATAAGTAAACTAGATTTATTCATTCAACAGTGTTAAAAATTGTATTTAATCTTATTTATTCTTGTATTTATTCTTTTTAACTGTATATATTCATATTAATAAAAATACTTCAGAACTTGTTATTCAAATTTGAATGAAATTTTTGTTAATTTTTTCTAAATGAAGTTTTTTTTTAAATGAAATTACATATGTAAAAATATTATTAAATATTTTTGGTTCATATTTTGCGTAGGTTTGTTTTCTTTTATATTAGATCTGAAGTAACGTATAGATGTCAAAAATTGATGGATGACTTACCACTTGGTGGCCTGATATGAACACCTAAGTTAAGGGCCTGAAGTTTCGCGACAGCGACCTTGCAAAGGACCTTCCTCTCTATCTCTGACAGTGACCTTAAAGGAGTATCCTGCAAGGTAACACGTCGTCCTCCAGTGCCCGCCCACGTGCATTTTCCCTGCAATTCAAAGAAAATATTCTGAAAGTTTTCCTCTGAAGGTTTTCGGTCACCAAGTTTCATTTAATAAGTTTCTTTTATAATTGAAAACAAATTACATATATCAACTTGTTTTAAATGTATCTATTCTACAGAGTCAAACTTGTATAATTAACATTATGCATTTAACAAATTTTAACATCCTGTAAAAGATATTTGTAATGATAGCAAAAACTAAATACAACAGCTAAAAGAAATACAGATATTAATATTGTTGATGATTTTTTCATTAAAAGAAATATAAATTATTATTATGCATTTACGATATTAGTGTATCCAAAAGACATTATTATGTCATATTAAATATATAAAATATACTATCTTATATTAAATATATAGAATGTATTGTATTGTATTAAAAATGCAGAATATTTTGTATTATATCATTTTATGCAGTGTGTCTCACAACTAGTGTAGGTCCCTGAAATGGGAGGTAGCTGACGTGATTCTGAACAAGATTTCCCTTTGCAAAAACAGAATTTGAATCTTCGTTTTTGAATTACTAACGAAAAACACCAACAAACAAGGTAGTGATGGGTTTGAGCGTGAGGGACTGTGGACGTGAACAAGCGCGATAGTACCGCGACACATTGACGTTAATGTTTTAAATATCTTGATTCCTAAATTTTCAAGTTTTTTACATTTTTTAAGCTTTAAAAGTACACATCTTTCAATTTTTAATTTTTGGATTTCTAAATTACCAAATGTACAAATCCTACAACACGGACCAATCAGAGCGCGAGGATTACGCATGCGCAGACGCGAGAGCGACAGCTTTGAGCGTAGTGGCTGACGCGCGTGATCCTCGCGCTCTGATTGGTTCGTGTTTTTCCTTAATAATTCAAAAACGAAGCTTCAAACCCCATTTTTGAAACGGGAAATCTTATTCAGAATTATGTCAGCTACTCCCCGTTTCAAGGACTTATACTAGTTGCGAGACAATCTGTATATTTAGAAAATATATCATATCAGAATATGTAGAAGACATTTAGAAAATGAGTTCAAAGAATTAAATCGCAACTTTCAATTTAAGAAAACAGTCTTGCTTTATCTACCACTTGTACGTTTTACAAAGAAATATAATCTAAATGTAGAAATATATGTAGTACTTAATTAATAAAAACATTTGTAAATAAATTTGTTACAAATCTTTGATTATTTTGATATCGTTCATTATTCATTTATTACTTAAAAAGAAAATATTTCAAAATCTTCGCATGTCAATTATGAACTTTATTTCATCATTACATGGTTATTAATAAATAATGTTCCCAACTTGTTGCATCCTGTTATTACAAATGAATCAGCTCTGTTAAATGCAAAGTAATTATCTCGAACCTTCTCGAGTTTAATACCTCACGCAAATGATATCTAGTAATTAAAATGAAATTCAAAAGAACGAATACACAAAGGATATTAAAACAATTCTGCAAAAATTATTGAAATCTTTATATACGTACGTTTTCAATTTTTTTTAATTAAAATCTTTGTAAATTCCTGCTACACAACGAAGAAGTATAAGTTTTAATAACTTTCTTGCATCAGTAGCTCCTTTTTTAATTTAAGACAACGAACGATACCAACGTTCTACTGGCGCGAAAGGAAAACAAAAAGAGTACTTTTAATTAAAGCCATGGGAAAGATACTCTTTTATGCTTTGCGTCAGATTTAATTCTGAGTTCGTACAACTACGCTGTCCTATGGAACTGTTAGACGACATTCATGGAAAAGTAATATACTCTCTTTTTATTAGTATTAACGCGTACACAGGTCTTTGGAACAATTGTTACCAGTCGAAGTGAACATAGTTCCAAAATTAAAAATCAACAAACGGTATAAGAAATAAATTAATGTTGTAACGATGTGAATCCGATTATTTGTGAGTGGACCATGAAACGAAATTAAAAATGTTATAGTTTACATTCTTTTATATATTTTCTTATTTTAATATTTTTTAAATTTTGCCACGTTTAAGTGATATACACATATTGTTGATTCAAACAAATATTTTAAACCAATACTTTAAAAATAATATATCAAACTAAAACTTTAATAATAATTATGTTTAAATATTATTTAAAATTATTTTTAATTTATTTTTAAGCGTTTGCGACATTTAAGTGATATGCACATATCGTTGGTTCAAACTGATATTTCAAAAATAATCAAACAAAATAATATATCAAACTAATACTTTAATAATAATTATTTTTAAATATTATTTAAATTTATTTTTAATTTGTTTTTAAATGTTTGCGACATTTAAGTGATGTTCACATATCGTTGGTTCAAACTGATATTTCAAAAATAATATATCAAACTAATACTTTAATAATAATTATTTTTAAATATTATTTAAATTTATTTTTAATTTGTTTTTAAATGTTTGCGACATTTAAGTGATGTTCACATATCGTTGGTTCAAACTGATATTTCAAAAATAATATATCAAACTAATACTTTAATAATAATTATTTTTAAATATTATTTAAATTTATTTTTAATTTGTTTTTAAATGTTTGCGACATTTAAGTGATGTTCACATATCGTTGGTTCAAACTGATATTTCAAAAATAATATATCAAACTAATACTTTAATAATAATTATTTTTAAATATTATTTAAATTTGTTTTCAATTTATTTTTAAATGTTTGCGACATTTAAGTGAAGTTCACATATCGTTGGTTCAAACTGATATTTCAAAAATAATATATCAAACTAAAACTTTAATAATAATTATTTTTAAATATCATTTAAATTTATTTTTAATTTATTTTTAAATGTTTGCGACATTTAAGTGAAGTTCACATATCGTTGGTTCAAACTGATATTTCAAAAATAATATATCAAATTAATACTTTAATAATAATTATTTTTAAATATTATTTAAATTTGTTTTCAATTTATTTTTAAATGTTTGCGACATTTAAGTGATATGCACATATCGTTGGTTTAAACTGATATTTCAAAAATAATATATCAAATTAATACTTTAATAATAATTATTTTTAAATATTATTTAAATTTATTTTTAATTTGTTTTTAAATGTTTGCGACATTTAAGTGATGTTCACATATCGTTGGTTCAAACTGATATTTCAAAAATAATATATCAAACTAATACTTTAATAATAATTATTTTTAAATATTATTTAAATTCATTTTTAATTTGTTTTTAAATGTTTGCGACATTTCAGTGATATGCACATATCGTTGGATCAAACTGATATTTCAAAAATAATATATCAAACTAAAACTTTAATAATAATTATTTTTAAATATCATTTAAATTTATTTTTAATTTATTTTTAAATGTTTGCGACATTTAAGTGAAGTTCACATATCGTTGGTTCAAACTGATATTTCAAAAATAATACATCAAACTAATACTTTAATAATAATTATTTTTAAATATTATTTAAATTCATTTTTAATTTGTTTTTAAATCTTTGCGACATTTAAGTGATATGCACATATTATTGATTTGTTTTAAACTAATATTTTAGGTCAATTAATAAATAAAATATCTTCAAAATTAAATCAAAATTTTAATTAATTATAATCAATTTCCAATAGTTATAATTATTAACTGTAATCGTGAATACAAAAAAAAGAAATGTGATTTTATGAAATACGAGTATAAAATTGCATTATGAAAGAACTAATGCAGAGGTTTTAAATTTCCTCGCGATAACGTAATTCTCTTTTAACCGGTCAATTAGTATGGTGAGATCGAATGGCCATCAATGTATGCAAGGTAATTAAAAATCGATTCTAAAATGAAGTGGTAATTGGAAATTGCGTGATGATGGAAAAATTGATTGAACTCTAAGAATTCATGCAAAATTGTGTGAAAATGAAAATCTAAACAAATGCAAATAGGCAATTTTATGGTACTTCTTAACCTTTTAAGGGCTAGAATTTTAAAGACGATATAAATTGAAAATAATACTTGTAGAAAAATAAAAATTAAAACCTTTTAAATGGAGAAATAGGGGAAATTACAGAATATTTGAGAATACAGAAATTTTATATGCAAAGATTTGGAAAAATATGTTTTTAGAAATATGGAGACTTCAGGAATGCAAGAATTTGGATGATAAATATATTAAAAATATAAATAGATGTAGAAAATGAAAATATACAATATATAGAATATAAATGTTTAAATGTTATAAAAATGTGTGAATACAAAATTTGAAAATATAGTCTTCTGAACATAGAAATTTAAAGAAGTTCAAGGTCCAAAAATTTGGGAATGCAAACATTTGGAAGTATAGAAGTTAGAGAACAAAATATGAGAAATATAGATGTTTGAAAGTAATAAAAATGTATAAATACAGAATTTTTAATTATATTGTCCTCTAAATATAGAAATGTGAAGAATTTAACAATTTGACTAATATAGCAATGTGAAGAATTTAGCGATTTGAAGAATATGGCAATTTGAAAAATGTAGCAATTGAAAGAATATAGCGATTTAAAGAATATAGCAATTTGAAGAATATCGAAGTTTTAAGAATATAGCAATTTGAAGGATACTGAAATTTAAAGAATATAGCAATTTGAAGAATACCGAAATTTGCAGAATATAGCAATTTGAAGGATACCGAAATTTGAAGAATATAGTAATTGGAAGAATACCGAAATTTGAAGAATATTGCAATTTGATGTATACCGAAATTTGAAGAGTATAGCAATTTGAAGGATACCGAAATTTGATGTATACCGAAATTTGAAGAGTATAGCAATTTGAAGAATACCGAAATTTGAAGAATACCGAAATTTGAAGAATACCAAAATTTGAAGAATACCGATATTTGAAGACTATTGCAATTTGAGGAATACCGAAATTTGAAGAATACAGCAATTTGAAGAATACAGCAATTTGAAGAATACCGAAATTTGAATTATACCAAAATTTGAAGAATACCGATATTTGAAGACCATTGCAATTTGA